AGCCGCTGTCCAGCAAGACCACCGCCGGGTTCGCCTGCACCGCTGCTGCCATCGCCTGGAAATCCTCTCCGGCCTCCGGCGCCAGTGAGACGGTCGGCTCCACGACGCCGACCAGGGAGCACGACGCCGACTTGTCGCCGCTCCCCTTGCCGCCAGCCGAGGAGTCGGCGTCCTTCGCCGAGGTCGACGACTTGGTCGACTGCTTCTCCTTGCGCGATTGACTTCCTCCTCGACGAGGTCGACGACTGCCAGACCTCCCGCGGCCTCCCTTGTCGTCGTCGTCCGAGTCACTGCGGTCGGGGCACTCGAAGGAGAGGTGGTCGGGGTCGCCGCACAGCCAGCACTCCCGGCGTCGACTTCCTCCTCCCCGGCCACTGTCCTTGGTCGACTTCTTCTTGTCGACCTCCTTGGCCGACTTCGAGCCACCGCTACCACCGCCGCCCGACTGTCCACGCTGCCCCGGTCGACCGCCTTGCTTCGCTGGGGCGACAAAGTTTGCCTGCGCCAGGAGCTCCTGGGACCGCTCAGCCTCCTGCATCGCCTCGTCCTGCAGGATGTACGAGGTCAAGTTGTCCTCGTTGAGCGTCGCCCTTGTGCTCGGCGCCATGGACAGCCGCTTCAGCAAGTTGTAGCTGCTCCGGAGCCCCTGCATGACATGGGTGATGTACGACGCCGTCGAGTACTCCGCACCGGCCATCCTGATGGTGGCGAGAATTCGCCGGGCCCGGTTGCAGTAGTCGGTCGCCGTCTCCTCGTCGCCCATGCGCAGGTGAGTCAGCTGCCCCTCCAGTTGGGCGATGAACAAGTCGTCGGTGACTTGGTAGGTCGACTCAATGAAGTGCCACGCCTGGTGGCCGGCGTCGAGGTACTCCCTGCACCACTTCAAGGCGATTTGCACGCCCGGCGAGCAGCACCGTGAGATGACCGTGAAGGTCAACAGCTGCACAGCGCGGAACTCAGCTCGCAGGTCGGGATCGCTCGGCGTCGCCACGGTACCTCGAGCAAAGCTGATCAGCCCGGCCATCTCCAGCTGAGGCTCGATGGCCTCCTTCCAGGTGAGTATGTCGGGTCGACCAACCAGCGGGGGAGTCACCGAGATCCTATCCGGCGTGAACTTGAAGTAGCCGTAGCTCGGCGCAATTCCGCCCGCCGTCACCTGGGACGCCGACATCGGCGTCAACCTGCTTCGTCGACCTCCGACGTCGCCCTGCGAGGTGCCCGCAGCCGACGTCGACCGAACCCCTCGCCCTTGAACGCCGCCGACTTCGTCGGCGTGAATCACACCACGCTGCCTCGACGTGCCTCCCGCACTGCTGCCGACTTGGTCGCCTCCAGCGTTGACACCCAGGTCGACGCCGCCCTCGGTGTTCACCGGTCGAGGAGAAGCAGGCCGAGAAGGGTGCTCCGTCGCCCACAAGGAACGGATGCCAGCCTCGACGACCGCCCACGGCAGGTCGCCATACTCGTTGGCCTCGTGCTTCCTCCTCGCGTTTTCCAGCCGTGCCTCCAGGGTGTCCACCACCCCTGTGTCACCTACGGCTCCTACCATAGTGACTATCGCACAGCTGCCGGCCTATGAACCACGTAGGTAAGGTCCCACTAAGTCGACTAGACTGAAAGGTAAGTCGTTGTGCCTTCCACGCTCACCGCACCATGCGGAGATAACTCTAGTAACGGGAGCTAGACTACGGGCTAGGCACGTGTGCTCGTGTGATCTCTGCGTTCTCTGTTCCTTAGTCGTTTTCCTAGTGCACACACTGCTTGCTAGTTCACAAGGCAATTTGGCAAGAGTTTCACTAGAGAAAGTTGACAACAATGATACAATCAAGTTGGCAAGACAAGACTACATCAGAGCTAGGATGCAAGCAGGTCAACTGCCAGCGCAGCACGGTCGACCGCGTGCCAGCACGACTTGGTCGACCGTGCTCCAGCAGTGCAGAGACGCGGCTTGCCAACGCTGCAGGTCGACGGCGTGACAACAGCGCAAGTCGACGGCGTGCCAGCGTTGCTCCTGCAGTCCAGCATCGCACCCGCTTCGCAGGTGCTCGTAGGTGATTGGCGCGCACTGCTTCGTCACCTGCACAGCACACACACTAAGTCCACCTCGTGCTGACGACTGTATCTGATGCACCACGTCGACCTCGGGATACCATCACCGAGGTCGTCCTCGCCAAAACCACCTGGGCGACCTTCGCAAGCCTTCGCAGCACCTCGTCACCCAGGTAACCTGGTCGACCGGGCAACCAGGTCGACCAGAGGCTCCAGTGCGTGCCCGTCGACCACCCAGGTCGACGACCACTTCCGGTCGACCTCCCAGGTCGACCACTCCCTCTGGTACGTGTCGGTCGACCTCCCAAGTCGACGGCCACCTCCAGTCGACCTCCCCAGGTCGACCACTATCCCCTGGTCGACCAGCTCCAAGTCGACGTCACTCCTGGTCGACCAGAACGGCTGGTCGACTTACCAGGTCGACCAGAAGGTCTGGTCGACGTCCCGGGTCGACCACCCGAAGTTGGCGCCCTCCCGAAGTCGGCGCCCATGCAATGGCTCCCGTGCAGGTCGACCAACCTCGTCGACCAGCCCGCCCACTGCTGCAGGTCGGCTGCACCCCTACATCCGACCACGAAGTCGGCTCCACCCAAGCGAGGACGGGGCCAACACCCAGCTCCCGTTGACAAATGCGCCGGTGTGCGAACCAACATGCAGACACTGGCTACCGCTAGCAAGATGTAGACACGATGTTATTCCTGATGCCCAAGCCTTTGGTGATGGCCGGAGCAAGGGCCACCATGACGCTCCCGTCCATTCGGGAATGACTAACGTCAGAGAGGCAGAGGTGCGCTTTGCGTGATGCAAGGTGGCGGGGATCAGGTGTGGAGGGGGGAAAGCAAATCCGTGTTCTGCTCCCCAGTCTTGCGAGAAGGCATTGACGGCCGTTGAGTGTGGATGGGGAACCTTCGAAAAGAAGCGCGAGAGTTGCGCACTATTGGCATTGGCAAACAGGTCGACGGTGTGGGGTCCCCAACGCCTCTCCAGCAACCAGAACCAAGGGAGTTTCAGCGAGTAGTCGTCGTTATCTCCAACTTGGAAAGTGCGTCTGCCTCCATGTTGAGTGCACGAGGGATCCATTCGATTGCCAGCCGGATTTCGTTCGCCATGCAGTGAGCGATGATGGACTTGCATAGGAGGGTGAGCTCGGGTTTCCTGGAACCGCCTTTACGAAGAATGAAGAATACGCCTTGGTTGTCGACTCGCATAAGCACATGGCGGCCCTTAATTTGATCGGAGAATGTACGCAGGGCCCAGAGCACACCTTCGAGCTCTCGACGTGTGCTTGAAGTGGTAAGGAGCTCGTATGGCATCGGGCTGCTGCCTTGCAGGTTTTTACTTGGGAAGGAAGCTAGGGTCGCACCCCAACTATGAGCACTTGCGTCGACGTGAATCACTGAGTCAATACTGTGGGGCATGTGAAACGGTGCCCCGTTAAAGCGATCGAAGTTTTGAAGCCAGAAGTCGAGCTCGTCGCGAGCCTCTGGGGTTAGGTGTATCCTGGCATTCCATGATGGTGCTGCGTTGATGAGCTCTAGGAGTTGATGACTGAATGCGCGTGCTGTTGTACCAAGGGCGAGCGCCATGGAAGCGAGAATGCTGGTGACCCGTGCGACTTGGCGGATTGGTATCCGTTGTCGACGCTCGAAAGCGGTGAGGAGCACCCGTAGCGTGTGCATGAGTTGTTCCCGACATTCGGGGCCGATGGTGAATCTCCCGGATTGAGTGTCCAACTCCATCCCCAGAAATCGCAGTTTCTGGATCGCAATGAGGTGCGATTTTTTTGCGTTGATGACAAGGCCCGACCGTCGTAGGTCGCGAATGATTGCCTCACGTATCGTGCATGCGTCCTTCTCCGAACTGCAGAGAAATAAGATGTCATCCACATAGGGAATGACTCGGGTACCTTGCGCTCGCCATCTTCGAGCCAGTTGTTTGATCAACTGAGTGAAAAGGAAGGGTGCCGTTGCGAGGCTGAACGGTAACGACTTGAAGTAGTAGTCCTTGCCATCGAAGTGAAAACCGAGGAACTTCTAGCAGGATGGGTGAATATCAATGTGGTGGTATCCAGACTTCAGGTCGATTGAGAACATCCAGTCGCCAGGTTGTGCCAACTCGGCGACTCGAACCAAGCCTTCGTACTTGAATTTTGGGATGAAAATGTACTGATTGACTTTCCTCAAGTCCAAGATGAGGCGACACTTGTCACGTTGCTCCACGACGTTGAGTGGACTAGTACATACCACGGCATTCGGGCCGACTGCGATTGCTGCTGCACCGGATGAGAGAAAGTCCGAAATTGCGGATCGTGTGAACTCGTTGTGCCGCTCCACACCGGCATGGTTCTTGTTGCGAAACGACGGTGGTGGCAAAGCTTTCCAGGGGAGCCAGTATCCATTAGATATGACCGACAGGATGAGACTACTCTCGCACCATGAGGCCCACCAAGCGAAAGCTTGGCGTAGTCGACCCCCCATTATGGTTACTTCCTTGTCGGTGATCGCGTGCTCCATAGGTTTACTCCATTCACCCAGTCGTGAGGAATACGGGCCTGCCAAAGTGGTTTGTTTGGGCAACAAGAGCAGCAGCCGCCGCCGGACCTGCAGCAGCTGCCGCCGCCGAGCCTGCAGCAACAGCCGCGGCAGAGCCTGCAGTCGCAGCCGCCGCCGACCCTGCAGCAGCTGCCGTCGCCGAGCCAGCAGCAGCAGCCGCCGCCAGACCTGCAGCAGCTGCCGCCGCCGAGCCTGCAGCAGCAGCCGCCGTTCGAGAATACCACAGCAGCCGCCGCCGTCCCTGCAGCAGCGGCCGTTCCCGAGCCTTCAGCAGCTGCCGCCGCCGCTGCCGTCACTGCCCCGGCCCTGCCCTGCTAGAGCCGCACTGCCCTGCCCTACCGCGCTACTGCTGCTGCTGTCACTGCTACTGACACTACTACTGTTCCTCCTACTGCTACTATGGCTAGCCCTCCTGTGCTAGCCTTCGATGCTGAGGGCCGCCCAGTGAAGTTTGACACCTGGCTAGATGACCTGCACCTCTTCCTACAGCTCACTGCCAAGGAGGACATTTCACTGTACGATCACGCCCTAGGCCATGCTACTGCCCCTGACACTACTGCTGACAGCACTCTGCGCTCCCAGTGGCAGACCCGTGACGCGCACGCTCGCTTCGCTATTCGCAACTCCCTACCGCTAGATGAGCGCGAGCACTTCGGCCAGTGCAAGACTGCTAAGGAACTGTACACAGCCGTAGTTGCTCGTTACTCCTCACCGGCCTCTGCTACACTAGGCCGCCTCTCACTGCCCTACCTGTTCCCCGACCTGGCCTCCTTTCACACTGTTGCTGACCTCATCACCCACCTCAAGACTAGTGAGGCCCGCTTTCGCGCTGCTATGCCTGCCGAGTTCCTTGCTAGCAACCCCCCCCCCGCTCTGGCTCACTCTCTACCACATTGTCACCCGCCTCCCTGACTCTCTGCGCACAGTCAGGGATTCCTTTCTAGCTCGCTCCCCTACTGAGCTCACCATTGCCCTCCTCGAGAAGGACCTACTTGCAGCTGAGGCGAGCATCGTCGCCGTAGGTGCCTCTCGTGGCGAGCCCCGCACCCCCTTCTTTGAGGGGTGTTCCCCTTCCCCCCTTCTCCCCTCTGTCGCCTCTGCTTCTGCTGTCGACCTCCTTGGTGCTGAGAAGGTCGGGACCGCGTCTGCTTCGAGCGGGCGCCGCAGGACCAAAGGAGGCAAGGGTGGAGGTGGCGGCGGGGGAGGCGGGGGTGGAGGCGGTGGGAGTGGAGGAGGGGCTGGAGAGGCTAGTGGCGGCAGTGGGGGTAGTGACGGCAGCGGCGGAGGCGGTGGCAGGGGCGGGGGCGGCAGCGGGGGCGGCGGTGGTCGTGGCAGCGGCAGGGGAGGGGGTGGTCGAGGAGGTGGCAGCGGCGGTGGTGGTCGTGGAGGCGCTGGCGGTGGTCCGAGCCAGCAGCACACTCCGTCGCTCCAGGAGGCCCGTAAGTGGTATGCGCAGTGTAGGGGGGCGGGTGGCCTTAGCTGCACGTACGTCATCCGCACTGGTGACCGCGCTGGTCAGACGTGTGGGAAGCCGCACCCCACGCCGCGCTGTTTCGCGCGCCTTGACGACGCTTGGCGCGCTCAGTTCCCTGACGGCAATGAGCTGCCCCGCTGGTTTGATCTGGAGAAGAAGGGAATTGATATCTGGGCTTTAGACTTTGATGCTATTCTCACTGCCATGTATGCTATGTTTACTAGTGGAGAGGGTGCTCAGTACTTGCGTGTTCCGCCCGACCCGGGCATTCTGACCAGTGAGGCTGCTGCTCTAGGTGCTAGTGCGTCTGCAGCTCCAGGTGCTCGCGTGTCTGCTACCCCCGGTGATGGTGAGGCTGCCACTCTAGGTGCTGGTGAGTCTGTCTCCCCTGGTACTGAGTCGACTGCGGCACTGCACACCTTCACACTGGACTCAGGTGCTTCTCGCTGTTTCTTTCGAGATCGCACTGCCCTTGAGCCACTCGCTCGGCCAGTTGCTGTCTCCCTCGCTGACCCCTCTGGGGGCCCGGTCATTGCGACCTCCTCCACTGTTCTTCCCTGTCCTGCGGTCCCGTCTGGCACACTGTCTGGTCTCTACCTCCCCTCGTTCTCTACGAACTTGGTGGCGGGTAGTGCGCTCCAGGACGGGGGTGTTCACCAGTTCACCCCTGCCTACGAGCGCGTGACACACTGCACGTGTGCTCGGACGGGCCGTCACCTGGCTACCTTCACTCGGGAGCCGGGGTCGGACCTGTACACACTGACCACTGAGTCCCCTCAGGTAGCTGCGTCTGCGTCTGCGTCTGCGTCAGGTCAGCTGTCCGCCCCCTGCTCGTGTCGCTCTCTGGGGCATGAGACTGTCCTCTGGCACCACCGTCTTGGTCACCCGTCTGTGCAGCGCCTTCAAGCCACGCACAAACGGGACCTTGTTGCTGGTCTTCCCAGGGTTCTCCCTCCCTCCCTCGCCTGCTCCTCCCTGTCTTCCCTGTGTCGAGGGGCGGCAGCGCGCCGCTCCTCACTCCTCCTCCTTTCCCCCGACGACTGCTCCTTTGCAGACGCTCCACATAGACGTGTGGGGCCCAGCCCGCGTCCGTGGACAGGGTCAGGAGAGGTACTTCCTGATTGTTGTTGACGACTTCTCGCGCTACACCACGGTCTTCCCCTTGCGCGCCAAGGGTGACGTCCCTGATGGCTTAATCCCTTGGATCCGCAGATCTCGTCTCCAGCTCAGCAAGCGTTTCCACTCCGACTTTCCTGTCCTGCGTCTGCACTCTGACAGAGGTGGGGAGTTTTCCTCCGGCCTCTTGGAGGCCTTCTGTCAGCAGGAGGGCATTGAGCAATCGTTCACGCTTCCGGCCTCTCCACAGCAGAATGGGGTTGCTGAGCGCCGCATTGGCTTGGTCATGGAGGTCGCTCGTACCTCCTTGGTTCATGCGGCTGCCCCCCATTTTCTGTGGCCGTTTGCAGTCCGATACGCTGTGCATCAGCTCAACCTCTGGCCCCGAGTCTCCCTCCCGGAGACTTCTCCGACCCTGCGTTGGACGGGAGAGGCTGGCGATGCGTCGCGTTTTCGGGTCTGGGGATCCCGAGCTTTTGTTCGAGACACGTCCGCGGACAAGCTCTCCCGTCGCGCTGTCCCCTGCGTCTTCCTTGGCTTTGTCCCGGACGCCCCTGGTTGGCAGTTCTACCACGCCACCTCGCGTCGTGTCCTGGCCTCTCAGGACGTCACTTTTGACGAGTCCGTCCCCTACTACCGCCTCTTTCCCTACCGCACTGCCCCGCTCCCCCCCCCACCTCTCTTCCTCGCTCCAGGTGCTGAGGTACCAGACCCCCTCCCCCCTCAGGGTGCCGCTCCCTCAGGTGTGTCCCAGGTAGACCCGGGTGAGCCTGTCGAGGTAGCTGTCGACTCTCGTCCTGCTAGGGGTGCTGCGTCTGGGGGTGCTGAGCCTGGGAGTACTGAGTCTGGAGGTGCGGAGCCTGGGGGTGCTGAGCCTGGAGGTGCGGATCCTGGAGGTGCTGAGCCTGGAGGTGCGGAGCCTGGAGGTGCTGAGCCTGGGGGTGCTGAGTCTGGGGGTGCTGAGTCTAGGGGTGCTGAGCCTGAGCGTACTACACCTGGAGGACCCCTCTCCTCCCTGAAGCTGCAGGAGAGGTACCTACAGTACTGCCGCCTCCGGAGAGGTACTACTGGAGCTCGTACCAGTACTTCCCCTCCAGCCCAGGAGCCCCCCCCCCATTCAGCAGATCCGAGAGTGGTACACGCGGCGCTGCAGTCTTCGGAGTGGTGCTCCTGGTGCTGCGGACCCTGGGGTTGGCGCTGCTACTGGTGCTGAGGACCCGAGCGTTGGAGCTGCTGCTGGTACTGCGGACCCGAGCGGTGGAGCTGCTGCTGGTGCTGAGGACCTGGGCGTTGGAGCTGCTGCTGGAGCTGAGGACCCGAGTGGTGGCGCTGCTGCTGGTGCTGAGGACCCGGGCGTTGGAGCTGCTGCTGGAGCTGAGGACCTGGGCGGTGGAGCTGCTGCTGGTGCTGAGGCCCCGAGCGGTGGAGCTGCTGCTTGTGCTGAGGACCCGAACGGTGGAGCTGCTGCTGGTGCTGAGGACCCTGACGCTGGTGTCTCTACTGGTTCTGGAGACGCTGCGCGGCCGCGACCGTACTTCGTACCACTTCTTCAGCAGGTTCTTGGTCAGGCTCCTCCTCCTTGTCCTCCTCCCTCCGTAGAGTGTCCTCCGCCAGTCCAGCCGCAGTCACAGTTACCGCCTGCCTCGCCTCTCCCTGCTCCCTCTCCTTACACTGGTCCCACAGGAGGTCTTACAGAGCGTCGTGGGCCTGAGTCTCGTCCTGCGTCGCCTGTCCGTACTGCTCGCACTGGTCGTCGTGTCCCACGTGAGCGTCCTCCTCCTGTCCCTGGCACTCACTACATGACTCTGCGTCCCTCTACTGCTCCTCAGCGTGTCCCTCTGCCGTCTCCTCCTGCGTCCTCTCTGCCTACTCTTCCTGACCCGGAGTCTGACTACCGTCGTGCTGCCAGTCCCACTGTCACGCGTCTCCTCGCTACTGTTGTCACTGACCCTTCCTTTGAGTCCTCTGCTGCGTCTGCTCTGGTCGCTGAGCTTGTTGACTTTGTTGCTGCCTGTCGTCTAGACTACGCTGCTAGCCTTGTTGCTGAGTCTGAGTCTGTCTGTCCTCCGTCCGTCGGGGGTGAGTGTGCTCTTGGCACGGACGTCCTTGAGGACAGACAGGAGGAGTTCCAGTGCTTTGCTGCTGCTTTGCCCCGTCTCGTGTCCATGCTAGTTGCCCCTGAGGGAGACCCGGATGCACCAGACATCCCGACCCCGCGCTCTTACGCTGAGGCGATGGCGGGTCCCTACTCCTCTCAGTGGCAGACAGCCATGGACGCAGAGATGGCTTCCTGGAAGTCCACAGGCACCTACGTCGACGAGGTTCCCCCACCTGGGGCGAACATCGTCAGTGGCATGTGGATTTTCAGGGTGAAGCGGCCGCCGGGTTCTCCTCCTGTCTTCAAGGCGCGCTACGTTGCTCGAGGCTTCAGTCAGCGAGAGGGAGTTGACTTCTTCCAGACCTTCTCCCCCACCCCGAAGATGACCACTCTTCGGGTGCTGCTGCACATAGCTGCTCAGCGCGACTACGAGCTTCACTCACTTGACTTCAGCACTGCTTTCTTACAGGGCAGCCTGCACGAGGAGATCTGGCTACGTCGCCCACCTGGCTTCACTGGGTTGGTTCCTCCTGGTACCCAGTGGAGGCTCCAGCAGCCGGTCTACGGTCTCCGCCAGGCACCACGTGAGTGGCACGACACACTGAGGACGACACTTGCGGCTCTAGGGTTCGCTCCCTCTACTGCTGACCCGTCACTGTTTCTACGCACTGACACCTCGCTGCCGCCGTTCTACATCCTCGTATACGTCGACGACTTGGTCTTTGCCACTGCTGACACCGCGGCACTCGCCCACGTGAAGTCGGAGCTGCAGAGGAGACACACGTGCACAGACCTGGGTGAACTGACGAGCTATCTTGGCTTGCGGATCACCCGGGACAGAGCACGGCGCACCATCACCTTGACTCAGTCACACATGGTGCAGCAGATCCTCCAGCGCTTCCGCTTCACGTACTCCTCGCCTCAGTCCACTCCTCTGCCTACCGGTCACTCGCTCTCAGCTCTGCCTTCGGATGAGTCCGTAGAGCCGAGTGGCCCGTATCCAGAGCTTGTGGGCTGCCTCATGTACCTGATGACCTGCACTCGACCTGACCTGGCATACCCTCTTAGCATCCTTGCACGCTATGTCGCTCCTGGCCGTCACAGGAAGGAGCACATGGATGCCGCTAAGAGGGTGTTGCGCTACTTGTGCAGTACGTCGGGCATGGGGCTAGTGCTTGGAGGGCGGGACCGAGTTGTACTCACAGGACACTCAGATGCTTCTTGGGCGGACGATCAGGCTACTCAGCGGTCGTCTCAGGGTTACACCTTCAGCCTTGGCTCTGGCTCAGTTTCTTGGCGTTCCACACGCTCTTCTTCTATTCTCAGCTCCAGTTGTGAGGCTGAGATCTACGCCACAGCCATGGCTGCCCAGGAGCTACGCTGGCTGACCTACCTGCTGACCGACCTGGGAGAGCGGCCTCGTTCTCCTCCAGTGCTGTACGTCGACAACAAGGCTTCCATTGCCTTGTGTGAGGAGCACAGACTGGAGCACAGAACGAAGCACATCGCCCTGCGGTACTTCCTTGCTCGAGAGCTGCAGCAGCGCGGTCAGCTTTGTCTGCGTTACGTGGCCACTGAGGCCAACATTGCTGATGTGTTCACCAAGGCGCTTCAGCCTTGTGACCATCAGCGCTTCTGCACTCTGCTAGGCCTTGTGCCTACTGGACCTCACTTGCTTACTTCTTGACCCTGCTTGTACTGTGATCACTATATATATATATATACCTGCATGTTTACTCTTGCTAGGTTGTGATCACTGTATCTCTTGCTTTGTTATAAACCTGCATGTGAACTGGCCTTGTGGCCACCTGCTTGTGCTCAGACTGTGTGGTGTCCTTGAGATCCACCCTGAGCTTTGTCTTGCTTGCTTTTCTGCTTGACTGGTCTTGTGACCACTGTTAGGTTTGGCTATCCCCCCTACTTCACCTATGGGGGTGTGTCAAATTATATGTTTCATATTATTTAGTTCTAGGTTGTGTAGGGGTGATTCTTAGAGGGTACAACAATTCTCTCGATACTCTTGTACCCCCTCCCCTAACCTAATCGACATACTTTCCTCTCTAGTCTTAACACGTGAATGTGCGCCACACTAGTCAGCTTCCCTCACGCTTGTATGAGTCCGACAAAAATGCTAGAGAAGAGGTGAGGGTGAGAGCAACGACAAGCTTGCGGACCCATGCGAGTCGTGACGCTTCCCATAATGCTTGACTAAGCGCTCTCTCTTGGTAGGCTTGGTCTCTTTTTAACTCGCCTTCATTTGTGTTTGCTCCCTTTCTCGCTCCCCTTATCCGTTGTTTGTTTGTTTGTTTGTTTGTTTGTTTGTTTGTTTGTTTTTTTTTTTTTTTTTTTTTTTGGCACATGGGGGGTATGAATTGCAGAGGCTCGCGCTCCCCTTCACCTCCTTGCCCTCTATCTTTTTTTTTTTTTTTTTTTTTTGGCAATCACGGGCTCCATTCGTGCCATGTCCAAGT